AATTTTCAAATTCCTAAATTCTCAAGTTTCTGAATTTTCAAAACCCTAAATTCCCAAATTCCAAAATTCCCAAATCCCTATATTCCCAATTTTAGATTAGACAATTTTTAAATCTCGAAACTTCCAATTTCTCAAATTTCCAAATCCCCAAATTCTCAAATTCTTAAATTTCCAAATTTCTAAATCTCCACACCCCTAAATTTCCAAATTCCTTAATTCCTTAATTCCTTAATTCCTTAATTCCTTAATTCCTTAATTCCTTAATTCCTTAATTCCTTAATTCCTTAATTCCTTAATTCCTTAATTCCTTAATTCCTTAATTCCTTAATTCCTTAATTCCTTAATTCCTTAATTCCTTAATTCCTTAATTCCTTAATTCCTTAATTCCTTAATTCCTTAATTCCTTAATTCCTTAATTCCTTAATTCCTTAATTCCTTACCAAATCCCTAGATCCCCACATCCCTAAATCCACCCATCTCCAAATTTCCAAATCCCTAAATCCACCCATCTCCAAATTTCCAAATCCCTAAATCCACCCATCTACAAATTTCCAAATCCCTAAATTCCCAAATCCCTAAATTCCCACATCCCGAAATTCCCAAATCCCGAAATTCCCAAATCCCGAAATTCCCAAATCCCGAAATTCCCAAATCCCGAAATTCCCAAATCCCGAAATTCCCAAATCCCGAAATTCCCAAATCCCGAAATTCCCAAATCCCGAAATTCCCAAATCCCGAAATTCCCAAATCCCGAAATTCCCAAATCCCGAAATTCCCAAATCCCGAAATTCCCAAATCCCGAAATTCCCAAATCCCGAAATTCCCAAATCCCGAAATTCCCAAATCCCGAAATTCCCAAATCCCGAAATTCCCAAATCCCGAAATTCCCAAATCCCGAAATTCCCAAATCCCTAAATTCCCAAATCCCTAAATTCCCAAATCCCTAAATTCTCAAATCCCTAAGTCCCCACATCTCATTTCCGAACTACCATCTTCCTAAATTACAAAAATTACAATTTAAAAAAATGAACAATGAAGGAACATCAAACCTTCAAGAAATAAAAAGCAAAGTAATTTGGTAAACTTCATTGTACAATAAATCACTAACTTCCTCGTGAAATTACAATTTTTCTAACAGCTCTACACACAAAAGCACATACCGTAAAGTTCATCTTTTGTAAATGAAGTGACTAATTATGCTTTGTGGAAATAAATCACCGCTATTGAAAACAACAGAGTTTCCTATGGTTTATCCATAAATAACAGCCGGCTTCAAAGAGTTAAACGATTTCGTCACGCTGCTATTGAACTTTTGATGAAGCTACTTTACCCAGGTGTTTTTGCGGCGCGAAAATGCGCAACAGGCAATTCTGTGTCCGACATTGCAAAAATACGATATTTCTATGTAAAATGTATCATTGCAGCGGAACATACGTGTCCACAGCGCGAACTAAATCGATCGAAATTGCAAAACTTTGATTTAAAATTCAGAGGTATCATAAACAATGCAAAATATATGCTAAACCTATGTTAGACATATCAAGGTAGAATAAAATGTTTGGTAGATGCAAAATGTATTGTATAATATTTGCATGATAAAATAATACTTTTCAGCATCTTTGCGGGAAAGTATACCGTGAAAAGGTGGATATGCTTTCATAAAAATTCATAGACTAGAAATATAGGTACGAGACTTTCATTTTCGGTAGGAAGCAGAGATTGTAGAATCTTTGGGGAAACAGAAAGCCAAGGTTCTACGATCAGGTTTACAAGCTCCGTGATACCATCATAGCATGGTTACTTTATGAGTGTAGCATAATAGATCGGCGCTTCTAATCCTCCCTTCGAGCCAGATTTAGATACTGCATATGATAACAGTCTGAATAATATATTCCTAAATGGAACATGCATGTACGCGATAGATAGGATCTATTCATCAAACGCATTTCGAAATTTCATGCTAAGAGTTTAACCGTGTTTCGACACTTTGTGACACATTTTATATCACAATTTAACCACTAACTTATTTAACGCGGGTTAATTTGAGTACGTTCATTGACTTTCATAAAAGATGAAATGTACATATAAGTTACAGTGTACTCATATGAGTATAACACTAAAATTTGTAATATGAAGAGATGTATTATTAGTTTTATTATAACAAGGTTTATTATACGAATGTTTTATTTGCTACATAAAGTGTATTGAATACTTTTACAAGCATCATTTCCCCCTTTTCGAAAAAGATGCTCCTAGGGTTAACCTAAAAATTATTCGACATTTGCACACAGAGCTAAGTAATCCTTATTGCAGTAAATAAGTAAAAAAAAACTTGAAATGTCAGACATAGTTTGAATTTAGTAATCTTTAATTGTACAAACTGGTATTGAATTCAAAAGTTCTAGGGAAAATACGATTTATTTTTGTCACATATAAATTGTGGCCTGCGTCAAGAATGTGACTCGATGTCATAAGCCAAGCGATTAAATCGTGTGAATATTATTATTAAATATAATAGTTAAAAATTACTAAGGAATATTATTATCGAAGAGTTAGTGTTGAATAATTAAGAAGCATTAGAGAAGATGGCGTACGAGCATTTCTATCGAAATTGATCACACAAGAGCAAAATACTGTACGAGCTTGTTGAAGTCTGCATTTACAGCGGCAGTTATGTTGCATGACGTATGATAGATTGACTGTATTTTATGTGCGATTTTGATGGATCGTCAGCCATGCTAGGTTTTATCGTCAGGTTTTCTCTATTGAAGCATCCGTCTGACATTTATCTTTCGGCAGCGCGTAACAACATTTTTAGGTGTAGAACTTAATAGTTTCTTCGAAGTTTATAGCACAAATAAATGTATCAAAGTATTAATATACAATATTGTAATTATTATCGTATTCGACAAACAGGTAAATGACACGGTTAAATAATCCACCCAGAACATAATTATATTTCAATCTTTCATTTAACGCTAATTACCTGTACTAAATAATTAAATCGATAATTGATACGTATTACTAAATGATTAACCCATTTGTTCCCGCGAGAATTTTTTTTTAAAAGCAGTGACGCTTGTACGGATATTCAATTACTTTATTCAGCAAATAAAACCTTTTGTTATAATAAAAATAATATCTCTTCATATTACAAATTTTAATCCTGTACATTGAGAACATATTTGTACATTTTATATTTTATGAAAGTCCATGAATGCACTGTACCCAAATCAATTGGGACAAAATGTTGAGACAAAATTGATACAAATATAACCTTGATACTGTAAAGAAGAATAAGCTAAACAATGCAGTTTACTAAAAAAAGTTGCAAATACGATGATCGAATATTCGAAATTGGCGCGTAAAATCTAACGATCTTGAAGTAAGAGTCTCGAGCGATTTAACTAAGAGGAAAGAAATGAAGACAAAAGCGATCGGTAAATCTCGAAGAGAATCACGGATTTCTTAAGCACCGACATTTCGTTGAAACGACGAGGCGGAATTACCGGTGGACGCGCATGCGTCGACAGCACGAAATATCGAGCAATCGAAATGGACCGGTAATTCGATTAACCCCGGGAACACCGTTCAAATCGCTCTCGTTTATCACGGTTGGCTCGGTTTAAAATGGGCGAAGTAATCGGCGATAATGGACTCGCGACATAAAGAACCGGGATGCTGATACGCCTCGCGGAAAACAAACAAGCGTCGTCGCTGCGAGCGACGGCAAACTTTATTAACGCGATTCGTAATGAGATTAAACGAAAGCTTATCGTTTACCCGCGAAATCCCTTTACGTTTAAATAGCCTTAGAATTCGCGGTTGTCTAATCGCGACGCTGAATCATCCCATCAACTTAACCTTTATTTCGTAGTGAAACGCGGTTGTATCTTGCGTTTCCGCTCGAATAAAAAAGCTGAATCGTTGAAGCATCATTTATGAAAGAAACTTCTATCGATGAACTGAAAATGAACTTTTCAAACATTTACTTAGGATAAGGATTTTTATTGCGATACTGTATAAATATTCATTTTTATGAGAAGTACACTTTAAAAAGTAAAAATATTATTAAGTATTTATTATTCAATTTTAATGATCACAATATATGCAGTCTTATGATTTAACGTTGGGAAATGGATCAATTTTAAATTTTAAAATCTTCAAGTTTAAAAGTTAAGGTATATCGAAATTTCAAATTTAAATTTACAAGTTTTAGAATTAAGAAATGTAGCAATTTTTAATCTTCTGAATATTCAAATTTTACAATCCAAGAGTTTGGAAGTTCCAAATTTTTAGGTTAGAAATTTACGTTCAAACGTGAATTAGAGGTTAGGAATTTATTTTCAAAGTTACTGCTTTTAAAATTTGAACAAACTATCCTTTTGCTGCTTACAATTAATTACTAAAATATTAGTAATCACAAATTAATCACAGAGTTCTAAAATATCATATTTAACCCTTTGCACTCGAAGATAATTTTATTATTTACAAACAGCAACTTTAAAATATTAATTAAAATATTAAATGAGTTTTTTTGATGTTATTACTTCTCTACTAATAATTTCCACTATTGTCTATTTCGCTATGTCTACACATCACATGAGCACTATTATAGAATTCATTAAATAATGCTTCTTTTAAATTATTGTATTAAATCGAATGGCGCCTGAAAGGCACCTCTCGAGCGCAAAGGGCTAAAAATTTTCTGTAATTTACCAACTGCATATAAAAAGACTCAGATCCGATTGGTACCAGGATTTGTCGTTAAAACTAAAACTGTCCATCGCATTCAAAAGGAAAAAGCAATAAACTAAAAACAGTAATTTGAATGCAAATTTAGTATGCAGCCACGGTGACTTCGTGCAGTATCGTGTACGATGAAACGAAAAATATTATAATATTTCAAATCAAAGCTAAATAAATATTTATCGTATTTAATGAGCTCGTTTCTGCCGGCAATTCGTTACCTTTGAGTTGCAAAAGCCGAGAAAACTCACCGATATTCGGAGCCCTCGTTGAGTTGCCTAACCGTAATAGGAAATTCGCTAGGTCCGTGTGCCTTTAGGAGCTCTTGCAATCGTACTAAACCTTCGTTGTTCTCGTAGATGATGGTGAAACTCTTCCACCCCCAGGCTTTCACCAAATCAACGTACGCCTGGAACAGAGACATTTTATTAGCCACGATTGCCACCCAACTCGTCATACAACGCTCCTAGTACTTGAAATTAAACCCGAAAGTATTACAACTTTATTGGGGACAATTTTCAAAGGGGTGCAATTTTCAAAATACACAAAGAGATAATAGGCAAAGAATCTTCTTCTGAATAAGTACTTTAATACTATTGCTATTAAAAATCAAATTTTCGATTTTTGTATGAAAACGAAAATTGTTACTTGTTTCACTTTGTGTTGAAACTCGATGATTTTATCAATTTCTTACTAATTTTTGAAAGTGTAGTTTTTAATTATATTAATTGTGGTTATAAGTAGAGAATGCAAATACGGGTTTAATACATATACATATACATGTATACATACACATATGCATATGCATACGTACATACATACATATACATATACGTAAACACATACATAGACATATACACATTGTACATATACATATACGTATACACATACATATACATATACATATACATATACATATACACATACATACACATGTACACATATGTATATTTGTATATACATATACACATACATATATGTATATTTGAATATGCATAAAAATATTTGGTTACGAATAGTTTGTGAAGAAAAATTGAAATATTCGAGACATAAGAAAAACGAGATATAACAATTATGAATGTAAATATTTTGTGTGTAATGTTGATATGTGAGATTTTTGAGAATATGTGGAGCTCGCTGGTGAGAAGAGGAGGAATCAAGAAAAATCGTCGGTCGTTATCGGCGTTATCAGCAGTTCGGTAATGGAGAAAACGAAGCCCGCGTGAAAATATGACTAAAAGTAATAGTAACGCGAAGATAGAACGTATGACCGTGATATTTTATAAGATTTCATGAACGCAATAATGGTGTCTATAGAACATTCGTGATGGCTTTCAATTTATAGGTAACGTGGCAGATATTTCAAAGTAGCAGATTGCAATTTAACATTCTAATGGAATCCGAAGTGAAAATTGTAAACGGGAATGTTCTCCCGTTCCACGATTCCGAAATTAATTTCCGTGGACGATTTAAGTTTATGGGGAAACGACACAGGAGAGTTGTAGTTCAATTAAAATTAATAATATCTATTTGTGAGACGACTGTGCAGACGTTTATGCAAATACGTGTCATTATAAAATATGTTAACCGTTGAAGAAATATTAGGTGATACAGTAACGATATTTTATTTAAATCGAGCAAATTAAATTTATTTTATCGTTTAAATTAATTGAAACAAAAATAATTCAGTTTTGCTGAAAATTTGCATTGCTGTTTGAAACGTGAACCGGTCTTAATTTCTTTAATAGACTTATAATAAATAGTTATCTAGTCAGTCAAGTAACATAAATCGGATAGTTAAATGAGTTATAAATAAATCATAATTTAAGATGAACACTCTTCTTACATCTTCCACATCAATAAATTATCTGATCTGAAAACACGTATCAGGCAATTGTTTATTTGGTTATTTTAATCAATTTACTATGGACTAAATTACGTAGACTCTATAGAAAACAAAATAAACAATAATTCAATATGGAACAATCCAGAATACTTAGATTAAACGATAAAACTATCCGTTTTGAAAAATACCTAAGCACGAATTTAACTCATTATCAAAATCGATCTACAATTAACTAAATTACCGAGGCATGTCAGAAAGTGAAATAAAGAACCATAATTCATCATGAAACTCAAACCAGAACTGCACTTCTATCTGATTTCAAAGATACCCGAACAATCATATTCTGATGACCAAAATCAATTTATAATTAACTAAATTACTGAGCAGACACGTTAGAACGTGAAATCAACAAACATAATTCAACATGAAACGCAATTAAGAACAGTATTTAGATTAAATGATGGTACTCTGCGATTTTAAAGACACCTAACTACCAGTAATTCAACTGATTATGAAACTGAATCTATAATTAACTAGATTACTAACAACACAAACTAGAATGTTAAATAAATGGTTATATCCTGAAACAAGAATTCCAGATGTAGTTGCAGGAAAGAAATTTTCTGTCGAACATCTTATATAGATGCATAGTAACATCTTGTATAGTAACTTCTATATATGTATATAGCAAAAATGTCCATTTAACAATGATCACATTTGCAAAAAAATAAAAGAAGATGTCGTAGTCAATTCACGAGTGGGTGCGTCAAGAGATTGACCCAATGGGTTCAACAATTGTTATTGTCATTATTATTCTTATTTGGCCCATTCTTATTTGTATTGGGAAGTGAGGAATAGAAAGATTGGGAATTTAGGAATTACAAAATTAGAAAATTGACAAATGGGAAATTGAGAAATTAGAAAATAAAAAAATTGGGAAATGGGGAATAGGGAAATTGGGAAATTGGGAAATGGGGAACAGGGAAATTGGAGAATTAGGAAATTGGAAAATTGGGGAACTGAGAAATTGGTATATTAGAAAATTGGGAAATGAGGAATAGGGAAATTGGAGAATTGGAAATTGGGAAATTGGGAAATTGGGAATTCATGAATTTGAGAATTTGAGGTTTTGAGAAATTGGGGAATGAGGAAAGGAGAAATGAGGAGATTGGAAATTGTGGAATTACAAAATTAGAAAATTGGCAAAGGACGAATAGGAAGATTGGAAGTTAGAAAATTAGGAAATTGAGAATAGGGAAATTGGAAACTTGGAAATTGGGAAATTGGGAAATTGGGAAATGGGGATATTGGAAAATTGGAAAATTGGAAAATTGGGAAATTGGGAAATTGGGAAAATTGGAAACTTGGAAACTTGGAAATTGGGGAACTGGGGAACTGGGGAATTGGAAACTTAGAAATTGGGAAATTGGAAAATTAGAAAATTTGGAAATTTGGAAATTTGGAAATTTGGAAATTTGGAAACTGGGAAATTGGAAAATTTGGAAATTGGAAAACTGCGAAAGTGGGAAACTGGGAAACTGGAAAACTTGGAAATTGGGAAATTGAGGAAGTGGGAAAGTGAGAAATTGGGTAACTGAGATATTGAGAAATTTAAAAAATGAGAAATTGAGAAATTGTATAGAAATAAGTATCTCGCGATGCATTCAAGAACCTAAATTAGTCCTCCACGTTAATATCACAAAAGTTGTGATCGCATAACCGAGAGCAGGACATGTTCAACCCCCGACATACCTTTTCTATACCCTAACCTTTTACCGAGTAACTATAGCCTCTCCCATTGGCTGATTCAAGGGGCAACTTCGCGGCTGAGTTTTCACGAGGATCAGCCTTGGAAGTAACTCGCATTTCGAAGCCGCTTGCCCGATAATCCCAACTTCCTAAAAGCGCCGCTGTATATTTTCCAGCGAGTAACTTTCTTCGTAACCTCTTTCTCTCCCCGCGATATTTCTCTTCCTTTTATGCGAAAACCGGGCGCAAGCTCATTTCCAGATTTTCCTTTAGCGTGTTGCACGGACGAAGCACTAGAAGGTTAGTATCGTCGATAAATCGACGTTGCCTTGTTTACTATCCCATTGATCGCTAATACCATGCATCGTGCTGCATCAATCTCTTCATGGTTTCTGGCTTGTTTGACAATGAAACGAGTGACCCCGTTTTTCAGGAAAAATGTGTAAAGACTCTCGAACCATGCTCGCCTGATTTTCTAAGATCGAGTGTATAATCTGTGGTCTCGTTTCTTCTTTTTTATTAGAAAGCTTTCAAGCTCCTCTTTGTTGTCGAATATTTTGGGTCATGAAACTGATTCATGTATTAACACTTTAATGGCCGCTCATGTGTATGGTTGATTAACTGGTTGCTTTAATAATTATCACATAGAGGAAAATATTAAATTTGTTATTTTCATATGTTTTATGTTGTTGTATATAATTGTTGTTGTTTTCATTTGTTTTATGTTCACACAGTTTTCTAAAACTAATTCTTCAAACATATTGCTCGCCCCTGGCGACGCTTGGCGGCCATTAAAGTGTTAACACAAGTTTTCCAGATTCTATAGATAAATAGATAGAAATTGATATTATAATAGAACAGTTATTATAATATTTATCATACTCATATTTATCCACTTTCATTCAATAAATAAAATTATTAAAACTGCATAAACGGCCTTGAAAATTATCTGTATTATATAAAAGTATAAATTATTTATACGAAATCAGATTAAACCTGAAATGAAAGTAAATGAACATTTGAACAATGTAAAAATCGAGCGGTAAATTGAATACGAAAATCGATAGCGGCAGAACAAAGTGACGTAATAATGTTACAACGGGAGATTAGTATAATGTTTCATAGTTATCAGAATTTTGATCATGCTGCGTATTGTCAGAAAACCGAGAGAAGCGAAGGGGATAAATTATAAATCCCTCCGTTGATTGAACGGGCTACTGAATGCAACGAATATTGAATTCCCTGGTCTCCATTTCGTTCGTTTATTTTAATTATTACTATTTCGGAAGTAATAACCGGCAAATAAATTAATTCAATACCATTTGCATTCGAGTGATATCAATATACTCACAGAGGTTTATGAAATGAATTAAATATTAAAGTCGATGTTGTCATTTATCGTGGAATATTCGTATTCAATAAATTGGTATTACTGATGTTTCGTCAATAAGAGGATTTCATGAGGCTTTACGAAGAACTTTGATGAATAATCTAGGGGAAATTTAATCTCCGTTGAGTTTTATTTTTGATAAGATATGTTTTCGATTATTATAATTCTTGTCACGACTTTTCTTTTTGTTTCAAGTTTGTTACTTTCCAATTACCTAGATTTAGAAGTTGTCATGTCCTAAATTTTGAAATTATCAAATTATCAAGTTTTCAAAATTGTATGTCACCAAATTCTTAATTTCTGAGTTTAACAAATCCCCCAAATCATCAACTTCTTAAATTCTTTAATTTCCAAGTTTCCAAATTTTTGAATCCCTAAACTCCCAAATTCACTGATTCTCCATCTCCTAAATTTCCAAATCTCA